ATTGTTATTATTCCTTTGAGTAGAATGATTTTTTTCGAATGACAGCATTACTTTTGAAGATAGAAAAATTTAAACTGATATTGTCACCGGATGGCCTTTACTAATTAATTATATATATAATAATAAAATAAATTAAAGATTTTATTATCTTGTATGTATGTATTTTACTTTTAGAAAGTTCGTAATACATTTGGGTGAAATAGGAAGAATACCAGGACCACAAACTACTAGGCATATAAGGATTACTTTCGAAACTAGAGCAAGTGGGCTAATACCTTTCTATTGGCAACATATGATCAATAAAATGATTTCCATTCCGCGATTTGTATACCGTATTTCACCTAACGTAAAGTCATTTGAATGATGTGAGTCAATGTCTTCCCATATAGCCATACACTCACTCAATATTGATTTCTTTGAAACAGATTGATAATCGATATTTGTGAGAACTTAAGGCTCGGATACGTCCAAATAAAGCACTTCCATATTTACATGGTAACATGGTGAGAAGTGAACATTATGCCTATTGGAGGAAGCTATCAAAACCCCTTTTCCAAACATTTACATCTATACTTACTCCTTTGCACTTATAGAACTTTATTTCTTCTTCTAAATTTAAAATAAAATTAAGGAATTTATTTATATTTTGTTGGAAGTTGATTTAATTTTGTAGGGTTAAGTGGAAAATTGCTTCTTGGCGAATTATAACTTGATTACCCATATTCTTCAAAAACTAAAAATTATAGCCTAAATATAAGGAATAGCTTACTAATCCAATCTGCAAAGATACATATTATTTCCCCAAATGTATTTATATCTCGATAGATTTAAGAAATATAATCATTATCTCCTTCCTTTTTTAACGACAAGAATTCTTTTACAGTGTACTTAGCACGTTTTTGCAACATATTGTAATAAGCTGATTTTACTAACAATTAACTTTATTTACACCGTTTATTATTTATGTTTGTTTACATACGTATTTACTAAGTTTATGATTTGTTTAATTTATTGTAGTGTGTATAGCGAATAGGCCCAAAAGTAATTGAGATAATGAATGAAAGCAAAGAACGTTGACGTAGCTGATAGTATATAAAAAACTATTTCAGCTCACGGTGCTTTTTATTTCTTATTTGGATAATTGCTTGGAGTATAAGAAAAAGAGTTTTAAGTATAAGAATAAATATTAACTTATAGTAGATTTCACATTACTGTAGTTACTAATTTAAATTATGTGACTAATGTGACATATTAAAAATAGATTGGTCTCTATCGATTAAAACTATCGTAAATGATATATATTATATATCAGCAATGGGCATGCCCGCTTCTTACTAGATTAGTCATGCCGAAGTCCGGATATTTACTGCCAGTACCCTCAATGCCATTTTCATGTTGTCAATGCCCAGTACCATTGATTTGCTTTAAACGGGGATTATCTGATGTGTCGCTGGAATATCACTGAGAATGATTGCTGTCTCTATGATAGTTTTCTTAAAATAATCTCGAGTAATGGACGCAGATCTCAGCAACAAATATTTTTAAATAATGATTTTGGTAAACCACGAACGGTGTTGTTACAAACAATGAAATTTTGAGCGTTCGATACAGTCATGACGTTGTCAATGTGTTGTAATACCAGTGAAGAAGAAAGGTCATAAAGTGGATTTATTCTAATATTCAATAATTTCTCCACAAAGTTTCATAAACACTGGAGGTTTTACGTGCAATAGAGCGAAATTCGTAGTGAAGAGCTTAGTTAATTTAAAATTACTACATATCTATTATTTATTGCTTGAATGTCTAACGAAGAGTTCCGCGTACAATAATCCTTATAAACTATACCATATATATACATATATAAATATACATGGGTAATTCATCGCTAAAATGTTGCAGTGTATATTTCTAGTATCTTATCTTCCTAATTAAGCAGATGGCGTACTTAATCGATATTTTACTAAAACGGCGGCTTTTTATCAATTAAATTTTAAATGTTTTCATCAAGATAATGTCGGAGCTATCGCATTTGATTTTCATCAATAAACTTCTATCTTGCCAATATGGGTTTGTATTGATCGATGCATTTCAAAGCAACAGATGCCCCACTTGTTATATAAATTGAGTTGAGTTCATTCAAGAATTATTAGTATTTTCTATTGACTAACAATGAAAGTCGATAATAATTTTAGCAATCTGTTCTGACCACAGGTAATTTACCGCTGGTTATAATCAGTGCATGACAATTTATTAGCATGTCCTTAGTTGTAGCCGTAGCCGCCTGAGGGAAGAATGAGAACAGTGAGAATGGTTGGTATATTCCTAGCTGATGGCTCATTAGTTTGGGTCTCAACCGAAGAGGGTGAACAAATGTTGGCTGATTTAGAGAAAGAAGAAAGGTATTTACCAGTACCAGTGACTTTCTACCTGTACACAAAGAAACCCGTTTAAGGACAAAAATTACTGAAACTGCCAAATCCATTACCAATTCCGACTTCGATGCTAGCAATCCAACGAGGTATGAATATAAACTGGTTGAAAAGTCTTTAAAAAGCTGTTATAAGATATAAGTAAACATCTAAATTCTACAGATTCGTTATACACGGTTGGACTCAGAGCTACACTGCCGGTATGAATAAAGATATTCGTGCTGCCTGGTTGGCACGAGGAAAATACAATGTGATCATTGTGGATTGGACACGAGCACGTTCCGTTGACTATGCCTCCTCTGTTGTTGCTGTACCTAAGGTAGGCAAAAAGGTGGCCAGCATGATTAACTATTTGGTCGAGAACTTTGGTATGAATTTGGATGAAACCGAAGTTATCGGTCACAGTTTGGGTGCTCATGTGGCCGGTTATGCGGGTAAGAACACTAAAGAGGGCTTGCTTCACGCCATAGTCGGTTTGGACCCTGCCCTACCACTCTTTAGTTACAACAAGCCCGACAAACGTTTGAATGCCAACGATGCTCATTATGTCGAGTCCATTCAGACCAATGGCGGTCAATTGGGTTTCCTTAAACCAATTGGTAAGGGCGCTTTCTACCCGAACGGTGGTAAGACTCAACCTGGTTGTGTTTTGGATGTAACTGGTGCCTGCAGTCATGCTCGCTCCACCGCCTACTACGCCGAAGCTGTGGCGCGTGATGACTTCCCCAGTATGCGTTGTGGTGACTATGAGGGAGCAGTGAGGGATGAATGTGGCGGCTCTTACAGTGGTGTGAAAATGGGTGCCGTGACAAATGCTTATATGGTGAATGGTGATTATTATGTGCCCGTACGTAGTTCTTCACCTTATGGTTTCGGTTCGGCTTAAAATAATTGCACATAAAGTGATGAAAATAACGAATTTACTAGAAAATACAAGTATATTGATATGAAAGTATAAGTAATTTTTTATTTATAAAGTGTCTTGCATGCGATTCAAACGGCTTTAGGCGCTAGGCTAGTAATTCTCCGAAACATAATTGTGGTTAGCGTTGCAAGCAGTGTATTAAACATTTTTATTAAATATTTTTTGTTATCCCAAATATGGAGCTGAAAAATAAAAAATTTTAAATCCCACGTATTTAATTAATAATTTAAAAAATAAATTGTTTTAGAATTAACAATTTTTCTCGTTTGCGTATTTCTTTTTCTACTATTTTATAATTCAACTTCAATACTCTAGAGCACAGGGCGGCAAATTTACACATACAGACTACAAATCAAAATTTTTAATTTTTAAATCCCAAATATTTTGGAATTCTACATTCCGATGTTAGGATAAAAAATAAAATTTTCATCGGGATTGAGAATTGAAAATCAAATGCTGAATGCTAACCTCAGGTTTAAAAAATGAAAATTTAGTTCTTAATCCAAAATTTTTGAATTAATACATTCGCAACCCCGATTATAGTATTAAAAACTGGTTAAAGCCAGATTATTCTTCAACTCTTCACTAAGTTCATTGCTGAACTTAACTTTCACTCGAAATGAATTCTGAGAAACCCAGTTATGTACTATTAAAAATCGTTTGAAGTTATGATCTTCAGTAGTATTTATATCCAAATGTACATGCCACAACAACAAGCGCTAAGTTACTTTCGCAATTTGCGCGGTTAGTAGGCGGGGAAATTATTTCGGGTATTAACAAAACTTTGTATTAAATAAGTAAGGAAGGCTTAAGTTCGGGTGTAACCGAACATTTTATACTCTCGATATTCGCAATTATATTACAAAATCTTGCGTAAGAATTCAATATTCATTTTGAAGAAATCGAATATATTACAATCAAATTTGGTATCTTATTAACTCATATTATTTATCATAAAATGATTTAATTTAATTACTTATATTGGCCTACATACTACTACTAAGTACATGGGGGCTTTGGAAACCAATCACCCGATTTTACTTATTCATCCATAGATACTCAGGTCCACATATTCGGTATCATGGGGCCGATTTCGTGACATTTGATGTCATATCTCACGTGACCTATTTGTATACATTTGTCTTCCGATAACTTCCCTGATGTTCGAAATGTATACTGTACAATGAAGGAAATAAGTAGAGTGTAAAAGTTTGTTTTATGGAATGTAGGCGTTGTTGTTTTCCATATTTGCGCACTCCCACACTGTATTGTATTATGATGTCAATATAATGTTCTGTAAAGAATTATGTTGAAAGAAGTTCAGTATTTTCAGAGATATAAGATTTCACATAAAATTGGGGCGCCGCCCCGCCGATTGTCCAACTCTTACAGCGACCCTATACAGCCTTTCCCTATCATCTTATTTGTGAAATCTAGTGCTTCTGGGGTATTTACTTATTGTGTTATCGCAGGTTTAGAAGTTTTCAATATAACCGTTATATGGGGAGTGGGTGTTACGAAGATTTTCCGGGAGCGAAATAGGTTGAAATAGTTATAATGGTTTGTGAGATATGATGCCTAGGAACATATGTAGTAAATTTCATTAAGATATCTCAAGTTTTACTCAAGCTATCGCTTGGACGTGCAGATAAGGAGACAAACGGATGAATACACAATCACCCGTAATTCAACTCGTCTCTTGATCCTGATCATGTATATATATATTACCCTATATCTAACTGAATTCATGTCTTTAACATCTTTCTAATGACATTACATTTTTTTACAGTGTACCCATCACTATTTGGTAATATACGATTATTGTTATGAGCTGATTTTACTAGCAATTAAATTTATTTTTACTGCTTCTTATTTATGTTTGTTTACATACACATTTACTAAGTTTATTATTTGTTAACTTTATCGTGATTTGTTGTAGTGCTTATAGCATGTATAGGGAGATAACCGATATCAGCACAGGGGTCTAAATTGATTTATAGTTAACATAAAAGAAATAAAACATAAGTGGTCCGATTTTTCAAGGCCAAGTTATAATAAAAACGCGGACTTACAAAATTGTTGCTTTTTAACTCAAATAAACTCAATACAAGTCAAAATCCAGTTTTGTTCGAAGCTAAATTAAGTGAGTTAGCTCTCAAGAGAATAGTTCCAGAATAGGCAAATTTAACAGTAAAGATGAGTATGAGATGTACTTTATACAAAATGAGGAAAATGTATACATTCATGGCAATGTGGCAAGTTCGTAACAAATGTCCGTTCTTTAACTTAGGTTAAATTAATTTACATCAGTTAATATACTATAAAAGAGGTCAGCTATATAGGCAGCTATTTATGGCTAAGTAACCATACATTATTTTTACTCTCTTGTTGCTACAAAGTATAACAGTTTCGTTCCTAACGTTGTTTGTATCACCTAAAACTAATAGAGATTACATATGGGTTATATATATATAAATTATCAGGGTTGAAATACGGGTGACTGTCTGTCATTGTCTCTCAAGCTGTAGCTTGAGTAAACTTGAGATATCATTATAAACTTTTTACACATATTTCCTGGTACCGTAAGACAGTTGGTATCTGGTGGGCATAATCGGACCGCTGCCACGCCACAAACGATATTAATCAAAACAAATAGTTGCCATAACTAAGCTCCACAACAAGATACAATACTGTTATTTGGTATATGTATTACATTAGGTGGAGACATCTGCAGTTAAATTTTTAAAAGTGGGCGTGGTCCCGTCGTCTTATAGGTTTAATGTGCGTATCTCCTAAGCGCTAAAGCTATAATATATAACCCTCCCCATATAACGGTACTGTTAAAACCTACTAAGAGCGCAATAAATCAAGCACTAAACACACCAGGAATAAATTGCATCTCTCTATTTTAAAGTTTGCCATCTTGTGACCAAAATTTTCTAATTGAACCAAAACTGCCTCAAGCATCTAGGTACTGAATATGTGGACCCCAGTGCCTGTAGTTGATTTTACCGATATATCGGTCAATGTGTAGATAAACAATTGAAATTCATATAAAAATAAATAAGTAAACTTTCGATAATAGTATGTTTTTGTCAAAAATTGGTTGAATCCGGATCAATATCCCTTTAATATAAAATTTTGCCAACACCACAAGTAATTTCTCGGCTTTGATTCTACAAGTTGAGTATAAATGTTCGTTACACCCGAACTTGGAACTTCTTTCCCTGTTTAAATTAGAACTGTCGATAAACTAAAAAGTTAGCGGAAAGATAAAATAAATTGTTGAAATGTGCTTTAAACATTTCTTCTTCCATTCAAAAGCAACAGTTGTTAAAATATGAAATTCGATTTCTAACCAACCTAATCATTCAAATGATGATCAGAAACTTGATTACAAGCAGCGAATCGAACAAACAATACCAGAGTTTCAACTTCCTAACCTTTTTATTTTACACGTAAGATCGACAGCAGCACAGCGCCCAAAGATAACAGTGAGAAATGGCGCAGCGATATTTTATAGTATACACATGTATGTTTATATAAATTTAGAATTGTGAAAACAGATTATGATGTATCTAGTCTAACATTCCTTTATGAAAAATTGCAGTATGTTTGAAGAATATATTCCTCTACTTGAGAGTTAATACCAGGTTGAAGTCGGGAGAAAATATTTCTAACTAGTATAATACAAATGCAAAGGAGAAATCGTTATACGTAACGTTGTCGGAAAGTTTAAATACCTTTAATTGCTGTAACGATAAATACTTTAATCGAATTAAACTTAACTTATCTTTGAATATATAGGACATAAGATATTCGTTAACCGTTATTTTATACCCTGAACAAAGTGAATGAGTTTGCCAAGTTTGAACACCGAGAAGGAACGTCTGAATATAAAATATATTCATAAATGATCAGCATGAAGCGCTGAGTTTTGTCTATATATACAAATTAGTCCTCAGTTTTAAGCTATCGATCGAAATTTTGCATCTGTCCTTTAGCATATAGCTGCCATACAAACTGAACGATCGAGATCAAGTAGTATTAGAAAACTCTTTCATTTGACGAGGTCTTCTTCACGAATTTAGATCGGAATCAAGTTCTTGTAAGGAGTTTTGTATTTGTGAAGGTATTATGCTTCGTGTCAAGTTAACGTTTATTCTTGTTTAATGACAATTATGCCATTCACCTTTCTGATTACATTTCCTCTTGTTCTGTTTGTGCAAAATACTAACTTTAGTCGTTCTTAGAAAAGCAAATTTGTGTTATTATTTATTAAATTTTACACGTCGTGTCATATTATCACTATTCATTCAATAATAGAACTATTTTGCTATTATTAGTTTGTATTATATAATACACTTCAAAACACAAAATCAGGCTTCCACTTGTTATATAAAATGGTTTGAATTGATTCAAGTTATTAGTATTTTGTATTGACTTAACGATGAAAGTCGTAATAATTTTAGAATCTGTGCTCTGATCGGAGGTAACTAACCGCTAGTTGTAATCATGCATGAAAATGTATTAATTTTATTCTTAGTTACTTCCGTACCATTCCGAGGTAACGTGTCAGTGGCGAGAATGGTTGTTATATTCCTCAGCTGATGGCTCTATTTGGTCTCAACCGAAGAGGGAACAATCTTGGCTGATTTAGAGAAAAGAGAAGAGGGTCGTCTTTACCAGTACCAGTGACTTTCTACACTACAAATAGAAACCGTCCAAAGATTGCAAACTGCCAAATCTATTAACAATTCTACGACGCTAGAAATCCGACGAAGTAAGATATAAACTGATTGAAAAAGTTGTTTAGTCAGAGCTATATCGCCGGTATAGAAGGATATTCTCTGCCTGTTGGGATGATGAAAATACAATGTGATCATTGTGGATTGGACACGAGCACGTTCCGTTGACTATGCCTCCTCTGTTGTTGCTGTACCTAAGGTAGGCAAAAAGGTGGCCAGCATGATTAACTTCTTGGTCGAGAACTTTGGTATGCATTTGGGTGAAACCGTAGTGATCGGTCA